TAGTTCCTTTAAGTGCTCTACCCACCTATTTCGCTGTTCGTCAGTGTTGTTGATTACTTTGCCTTCCTTACTTTTCACTGGTCGTTCTGGTTTACGATAGTTTCCCGCGAGCTTCTTTGTAGTTTCGTACAATTGTCTCAAGTTTCCGTCTCTTGCAGCCTTTTCCGCCGTCATTGCTAGATCTTCCACATATTTTCGTTTGTCAGCTCTGATGCTCTTCTTCACTTCCCTGTTTGCTTCTGTGTATGCAGCTTGTGCCTTAACTTTCTCTGCTCTTGTTCGGCTGACATTGATTGCTGCCTTCTTGTTCCTCCTTTCTTCAATTTTTGTGAGAGTATCAACAGAGATCCATTCCTTGTGATGGTACTTCTTGTAACCCAGAACTTCGTGACATGTTGAAGTGATTGCCTCCTTGATCCCTTTTCAATTGTTCTCCAATGTTTAGTCCTCTCCATCGAGTAGATCCTGAAAGGCCTGGAACCTATTGGTGAGGGCTATCCTGAATTCGTTGAGTTTTACGGTATCCCAAAGAAAGGCCGTATTAAACTTGTGTGATGTTGTCTGTCCCGTTGTCCAGTGCTTCTTTAGTTTCAGTTTCATTTTGGCGATCAGCAAATGGTGATCTGAGGCTATATCAGCTCCTCTCCTGGTTCTCACATCCTCCATAGTCCTTCTGAACGTTTAGTTGATACAGATATGATCAATCTTGTTTTGAGTAATGTGATCCGGTGAAATCCATGTAGCTTTGTGTATGCTTTCGTGTGAGAATATTGTGTCGCCGATAACCAGTTTTTCGAAGGCACATAGGTTTGCAGATCTCTCACCGTTTTCGTTCCTGTCTCCCAGTCTATGTAGTCGCATGATGTCTTCATATCCAGTGTTGTCCATGCCAACCTTGGCATTCAGGTCTCCCATAAGAATCGTCAAATCCTTTGGTGCACATGTCTCGACGATTGACTGCAGCCTTTCGTAGAATTGATCTTTGACGTCGTCATTGTAGTCCTTGGTAGGTGCATAACATTGGATGACGTTCATTGTAATGTCCTGTTTCTTTGTTTTGAAGGCATGCTTTAATGATCTGGCGCTCATGAGATTCCCATCCTATTAGTGCCTTTTGTGCATGTTTGGACCGGCATCAATGCAACTCCTTGTGTATGTGAAGCATTTTCCTCTTCATGACCAGAGTATAATAGCAGTTCCCCTGAAGCTAGTCTCAGTTGTCCTACTTGTGTTCAATGTGTTTCACTGATCCCGAGCATCTCGAGGTTGTATCTTTTCATTTCTGCCGCAACTTGAATAGTCTTCCAGTCTCCCACAATGTACGAACGTTCCATGTACCTAAAAAAATGGTTGGTGTGGTTGTGAGAAGAGGCATCAGCCCCGTGACTCCGAGGGAACTCGGCTTTCATCACGCGGCGTCATAATTCTTCCTCCAACTCCCAGGGCAGAGTTTATAGCTAGGCCACTACCAAAAACCTGAAAGTACTGGATGACTGTTTCGTTCTATCATAGTACTTCTCAACTGTGCACATCCAGTGATCGAACCTAAGCCCTTACGTTGAGCACTTCCAAGTGTTCACGTGTTGTTCAAATAAAACCAGTTCATGGTTTAGAAATAAAAAAAATTTTTGCGATATACACAAATCCTCTTATTCTAAAAATAAATTATAATTCGCGGACCAGTTTCTTTTTACTGAGATTATAATTTAAGGTTTGAATTATTTCTTTTGGTTAGCGTTTTTTTGGCAAGTTAGTTTTTGACGGGATGGGGTAGCCAACCCCATGCCCAATCCTCCTCCTTTATCCGGGCTTGGGACCGACAGTAGCCCCGAAGGGTCAATAGGCGGAGGTTAAATTTTAGATAACAGTTAAACTGTAATTTATAACCTTATTATATGAAACAATTCTCCCTCTTTTTGGAATTTCAATAAACTAGAATAATGCGAATTCACTTATTTTGTGGATTCCTTTTAATTGTTTATAACCCTAGAAATAATGATATGAATTATTTAAAAATAAGATACTTTTACTGTTGGACTGTATAATATCAGAAACATTCTAATCAATGAAGAATAATAAAAAAGTGTATCACATATGGAAGCACCCTATGAGGTGTTCGTATAATTGAATATTTGAGACTTATGAAGACAGGTGACTGCTGAAATAATTAATGTTGAAGGTCAATGGTGACTCAAAAAACAAAACAAAATTAGTTGGGTGATTTTTATCAGTAACGTGAAATAAAAAGCAAGGAAGGATGAAGAAAATGAATTCATAATAGCAAACACAAAAATCAGATGTCGCACAATCAAGTGTTCCAAGCTGAGGTCAGCAAGACAATGCAAGCATAACAGGAGTATTCTTTGGAAAGTATAGTTCCATTTTAAGTCTTGTTGATATCAGCTGCAACGTAGAATTTGGTATGTGCCTACATCAGTTCAAGTTGCCATATCTAATTAGCACGGAAAGTTGGAATTCTCAGTCCAAATCCCATCGTGATATAGGTCATATCAATATTAGCGTCAATAGAAAATATTGCCAATCGAAGTATAATATCCCAGTGAAATAAATTTAAAAAGAGAAAAACAGGTTCTGGGGAATTCGGAAGATTAGAATTTGAAAGGAGATAGACAATGGATGCGTACGCGTCATTGTAAACCTTTTCGAACCATGTCATCCAAAGTATCTAAACACAGGTATCAACTGTCTCGCGGGCTCCAATCAGGTAGTCTACACGCATTAACGTGGCTCGGTCAAGCGATCAATGACTTTATTCGTTTGTGCCATGTTTTGATTTGGCCACTCCTAGCTTTATTCCAGCCTACTCCTACTCCAGACAGCATCGCCTTTAGAGGTAATCGATGGTTAGACATACCTTACACATGTCCTAACCACCAGAACTGATCAAGATTCATTACTTCATCAATTGATTTACTAGCCCTACCTATTATTCTTTTTCCTAACACCAGTATTGCTTACTTAATGGTCCGAGAATACGCGAACAATGCTTCGAAGATACCTATACTCGGTGAAATGGAATAAATTTGAATACTCATTTTTACTGATAATTCTAAATGATTGTGAAATCTGAACATCGTTTCCACTATAAAGAAAATGATGGGCTATTGCATTTCAAAAAAATGTATTGACATTTGAATCTTAGTCAATGTGGTTTATGCTCAGAGATATGACCAATAAACTTCCGATTCTCCCAACTTATATGTTTCTTTAAGTATATAAAATCTAGTGAACACAACTGAAAATAACGTTAGGGCAGTATGTGTTTACTGCTAGAAATCTTAAAAATACTTAAAACAGTTAAGCAGCTTAATACTAGCTACTTATTGATAGTATTTCTTGGTTCTAAGTAACTTGTTTTACAACTATTATTCTGTCTTGATTTAACTGATATTTTAATTGACTAGATTTCAGTTGTTGATTCGAGATGTATATAATATGACATTTACGATACTAACTAGATCCTGGATCTTATATTTCTAAACTAATAAATATTCCAATGAAAGCTCCACAACCAGCTCAGTGGACAAAACTCCACCATAATCATTCACCTGACCTAGAAATTTTCTCCACCATCTAAAAATATTCCTGTTAATTAATTCACCATTAATGAGAATATGAGAGAGGTGTTCTTGATAAAGTTATTGAAAAAAAGTAATCACTTAGTGCTATGATGATGTGACAATTTGAGAAGAGATAGATCTTTATTCTTGACATTTCATGACTTAATTCACTTCAGCATAAACTTGACCGAAAATGATATGCTACTGATATGTTCAGATCTATCATGGTTTCGACTGTACTAAGTGGCAAACTGTCAGAAATACTATTCTCTACTCAGTGGGATATTGCAAATTCACTGACCTTGAAAAGATGACTCATTAAATATCAAGCCAGTAAATATACAGTTAATGATCTCTTCTTGTGATATGAAATCTCACTGAACACTCCTTACCAATCACAATATAGGAAGAATAATGCAAAGTAGCTATCCAATACTTGCGAATTTTCAATGATTCACTTATTTTTTTACACCTTTGAATGTGATTAGTTAAGTCGTTTCTGTTTGATTTTTGTCAAAATTCAGTATTTAACAGATCATCGAGAAGATTGTGATTTTCAAGATTGTAGTGCAAATGTTATACGCACCTTCATGCAACGTCGTTTAATAAATTTATTTCCGGATAAACCGCAACAACAATCAATGCTGATAAGTTTAAGAGCTGCTAGTGTTTCCATTGTAAGTGAATAATTTTGATTAAAATATGATGTGTTTGTTAATTGTGAAGTTTAAGGGTAAACTGACATTGAATTAGTCATCTGTTAGTTAGTTTGTTGGTTTAAGAGATAGTTTGTTTCATGAATAAAAAAATTCAACTTAATTGAACTATTATTGACAAAAAATCAAGCTATATTAGGTTTATAATCCCTATTTGTGTTTAATAGTTGCATAGTTTATCTTTCTATCACCTAACTGCGTCACAAGACAAGACAAGTCACTTGGAATCCTCAAGGTCAGCGGAAAAGAGAAAGATCAAAAAACGCATTACACCGAGAAATGGAAACAGATATGAGAAGAGTGAAAAACAGTTGGACAGAACTGGAAAGGAAGTAACAGGATAGAGTAGGTTGGAGAATGCTGATCAGCGGCCTATGCTCCATTGGAAGTAACAGGTATAAGTTTATCTTTCAATACTAGTAAGCTTAGTAGGTGACTGAATCGAATCTATGGATGGTCGAAACATCAGTCTACTGAATTATTGATTACTGGAGTACATCTTTTCAGAAGGCTGAGTTCCGATCAATAATCCAACAGTGATCTGTGATTGGAATACCTCAAGTGATATTAGTGGGAAAGTAGAACAATGGTGTAGGTATAATGACTCACTATATTGTCTTAAAAGTGCCTACGTCTCTAAAAACTATTGTTATTTTCACTAACAGTGCACATTTGATTTCATAACTAAGTGGCTAATGGAGTTAAGTTCGCCAGGAAGGATCGATGATTTTACATTCAATATATATTTCAAACTGTAACTAGTCCCATTATGAAAATGAGAATAATATGTTCAGTTTATAAACACTGTTTAGTTTATCTCAACTGGAATCCAGAAATTAATAGTTAAAGTACACAATTTTCAGATAGAATTACATTTAATGGTGAATGAGTTCATTCCAAGAAATAAAAATAAAATAGTGTTGGTATATTTTCGAGTGACAGTGTGGGATATTTCAAAGTAGAAACAAAAGTAGTAGTAGTAGTATTGTATGTCATATGCAAATAAATAAATTCCCAGATCTGACCATCGCGGCGGAAGATTCTAACAAAGTGGTGTATAAATAGTATGCAGCGAAGCGTCACCTACAAGTTGCTACCACAGAAGGGTGTCTGAAGATCAACATACATGACGCAATCAGAGCGTATTGAAGACTAGAGGTGATGTGAGAGAAGACTGGGAAAAACCTGCTTGTATTGCAAATGGCTGTCTGAAGATTATGTGTACATATTTTGTGAATGAACTGTGTATTCTTCTCCTAATATATATATTCACTCTGGTCTTGACTTTACGTCAGTATAAACTCTAATAGTGACGACACAGAACGTGCTTGAATAAATTGCATTCAGTGTATAACTATGTAGTTAAGGATACATAAAACAAATGTCAGTTCATACAAACATTACGTAGCAGCCATGAAATTCGGTCTGTATAATACTTTGGCATTAACGATCTCACTTAAGATCGGTAGTATCTGTCCTCAACTATATCACAATCATGATTAACAAGTAATAAAGTGATTCACAAGCTGATGTTGATGAGAGTTTTCTGTCTTTCTTGAAATGGTTTCATACGTCCACTCATCTGTAGTCTCAATGAGATAACTTTCAAGTAGCAGGCTTTTTTCAACAAACGTGAGAACTAAATTAAACATCTGACACTTAAAACAGACTTATGGATACAGAGGGCTTAGCTAGAGGAGACAGAAGACTGCGGTGGTTTTTCGTTCTCAGATCAGAGAACGAAACATTACCACAATCATCCACCTGAGCTACAAATTTTCTCCACCATCTCAGAGACAAAAGACCCTTATACTGTTTACTAATATGTAGAGACTATTTGCTTGGTCCTAGCCTTTGGATAAGCTGTATGACCCATTCCTCTCGAGCTACTGTTCACCTGCAGTTTAATGTCGTTCATTATTCGTTTATGATCTTGGATGTTTTTGTGTGAGGATGTGTAAGCATTGCTTCCTTGATAAAAAACAGAATTACTAATTCTTCAGGTAAGTAAAGATAATTCAGAGATTCAAACCCGGTACCTATCGATTTACAAGTCAGCAAGTTACACTCTAAGCTTACTGAATAGCAGAAAAATTGGTGACGTGTTAGTGTTGAAAGTAATGAGTTCAGGAATTAATGTAAGCACCTACATGTAGCTGACGAATCTTAAATACATGGAAATATACTTTTGAGATTCTTTTTTCTAAACAGCATTAAAAAATTTGATTATTTTGCAAATGTGAATAATAGCGACACATCAACTTAGGAAGTCTATATATATACCACCATTAGAAACCCGGAAGCACTGGACGGCCGTTTCGTCCTGGTATGGGACTCCTCAGCAGTGCGCATCCACCATTACTGCACCCCGCAGGATTCAAACCAAGGACATTCGGTATTGTGCGCGAACGCCCTAACCGTTAGACCACTGAGCCGGTATCTAACGGTGTTAATGTCTAACTTGATCAAATTCACGGAGTTGCGCAACCTCATGTACAGTCTTCGGTAGACACTGCCTACACCCAAACAGGTTGAACTTCACTGGTCACGACTGCCCACTAGAACTCGGAGAAGATTCCTCACGAAGCTAGTCACTAGTGAGCACAGGTAACAGACACTGAATGAACTCTATCTCAACTACCAATAATAGAATATTGTGAGAATATTTAAGCAAACAATTGTTTTTTTAATAATTTTGTCATCAACAGTTATAAACCCATAATAATTATGATATCTTATAAAAGCCAAATTAAGGCAATACATTATTAAGTTAAACAATGTTATACGTTATGAATACTGAACGTTTGCAAAATATTTTTTTATTAATAACTACTTCAAGATTGTGTCATCTGCTAAATTGAAAAGGTCACTTTTTTAATGAAAGGTCAGACAGATTCAAAGTAAGGTGTTATGTTGTAATCAATATAAAATGCTACAATGAAGATAATCATATTCATAACTCTATAATGAAAAAAAAATAGTAATTATCAAGTTGTGACTCTAATTTGTAAATATGATCAGTGTGGTCAAATTAATTATTATAAAAATAAAATATAAAAATTTATGTGAATTAGGAATGATGACTGTGTAGACTAAGAAAGATATAAATACAAAAGGAAATAGGAGGGGAATAAGAGGTTTAGAATATGCAGTTTAAGTTCCTAGTGATCCTGCCTTCTATCAAGGTGTAAATACAGAGGCTGAATATATTACGTTTGGAGGCATCAGTTAGGTTTGCTGGATTTCATACAGACCGCTTCAGCTATGCAAAGGAGTTGTAATCTAACTCTTTTGGTCGTTACTCCGTTTACCAAGCATACTGGTACATGCTCATGAGTACCGAAGGATAAAGCTCTCTAAGTATGGTCTATATAATTAGTTCTACAGGAGAATTTGGTTTGGTATGCATACATACAGGAGCCCATCATCCGTAAATTATTCCTGATTTGTTGTAAGAGTACTGGTTTGGTTGGAAAGATTACATGCAACTTAGCGGCGTGAAATGTTCATGCAACAGACCTTATAAGTCGATGTATTAAAATGTCAATTGCGATGTGCCCTTTAAAATCAAGTATCAGGTAGAGGGGTTTGTTTTGCTATCCGTGTCGGATTTGTTCTATTCTTCGGTTCTGATAGAAATTTTCTGACAAAATTATCTGGGTAGCCATTGTGTCGTAACGTTTTCTTCAGTTTATCTATTTCGATGTCTACAAAATCCTCAGAACATAATAGCTTGATTCTGTGGTTGAGAAATTACATCAAATTTATTTTGTACTGAAGAGGTGTAGAACTCATCAAACAAGTATACTAACCAGTCCATATATTCTTTCTTAATATATATTTCTTTCTTTTGAAACCATCTGTCCTCCTAGAAAGCAGGTCTTCAAGGAAGTCTATCCTATTATCGTTCTCTTCTTCTTTGATAAATTTAATAGCCAGGTGTACGTTATTAAAGCTATTCAACAATTCTTGCGTGTGCATGCTTTCGTCACACACGATTATTGTATCATCTATATATCGATAGTAATCATCTAGCTTATGAAGGATGTTTTCCAATGATTCATTTTCCAGTTTAATAAGGAAAATATCAGCAAGGATTGTGTCTAGACGAGATCCTATCGCTACTTCACACATTTCTCTGTAGAATTCATAGGGTAAACAAAAAGTGGATATTCATTGTACATTTCAGTTGAAGATCCGTCATTTTGTTTATTGGAATCGTTATCTTTGTATTCTTTACTAGCAGTTATCCACATATGTAATCGATGGTTTCTGTCTGTGCAATAGCTGTGAACGAAGATCTTATATCTAATGATAACAGTAGGTTGGAAGAAAGCTAGGGGCGGCCAGACAAAAACATGGCAGAAATCCATGAAGTCACTGACAAGTGGACTGAGTCATGTTGGTAGATGTAGACTACCTGGTTGGGGTCCGCGAGATAAAAGTCACCAATGGTTAGAGACCTTGAACGACATGGCTCAGAATCGTTTGCAATGGCTCAAGTGCATCCATTCATTGTGCTCTCTCAAATCTTAATCTTTTGGATTAGTCAGCACCTCTATGTTTGTTTTTCTAACCTTATCTCACTAAATTATACTTTTCGAATCATATCTTCGCTACCTAATCTTCTCCATTAATTCTAATACTTCTACTATCGTTATCACACTTGGATTTGAACTGACAGTTGCGTCTTTGTGCAGATGTGGTAATGGCAACCTGAATTGATGTACTTACGTACGAAGTTCTGCGTTGTATCTGTCTGTCTGTCAATGATAAAATGGTTTTGTCTTTTATATTCATATTTCTTATCGTAAGTACAAATTTAGATACTTCTTTAACTCTGTACATGACTAAGTCTTGATGTTACGGTTCTAATAATTTCACTAACCATTTCACTGTTGAATGTTATCGTGGGATGACATAACTAGAATTGGAGGCAAAGGAACCCATTCAGTAGGTTATAAAGTCAGGGAGTATATGTTCCAAAGCGGCTTGAGCTCACTAAAAATATACTCAGATATGTATTTTTGTTGTTTCGAAAGTTTTAATGCTATAGTTAATTGACCGCCAGTCTTTTCATCGAAGTCTTTACATAACCCGAGCTTTCAGAGTTCAGTATGATCATCAAGCAGGCTATTAATCTTACCTATGTAATCCGTCTTGTTTAAGATTACAGTACTTGATCCTTTATCTGGTTAAGTGTTAAGTACGTGCTCGTTCGATTTTCGTTTTCGAATGGTTTCTCGATGTTTATCAGTCAATATACTCTTTGTGTAATGCTTGGTATTCTTAAATTGGTTAGGACAATCAATCAACTAGTGTAGGCGTGAATCTTTCTAGTCAGACTTTTATCGATGGTATCAAGTCTTTTGTCCCACTAAATTATATTTTGAAATTGAACAGCAGTTTTTAAGTGATAATTAATTAATTGAATGCATTAAACATTCTTCTATTTAGTCGATTACTTAAATATAAATATAATTAACATTAAATTGATATTCATACTCATAGTTATTAATTTTTCTTTGAAAACTTTAGGCTTATACTGGTTATATCACTGATCATTTGAATGCTGACCATGCATGGATGGAAGGAGTTTTATTTAATATTCATGAGAATGAAGAACATCCATTTCAACAGGAATTTTTACAGGTATAAATAATTATTTCATGTAATGTGGTAGTAGTTAGACATAGTCTATAAGAAATTTGAACCTTACTACTCAGTGATCAATCAACTGTAAATTGGTTTTTTGTATCATTGTTAGCTGAAACACTTTGGTTTACTCCAGAAAACTAGCTTACGTACTTACTTACGCCTGTTATCCCCAAGGGAGCATAGGCCACTGACCAAGCTACTCTCTCCTGGACCTTCCTTCCTAGTTCTAGCCAATTGCTGTTCATTCTTTCCATGTCTACCTCCAATTCCCGGGGCAGTGTGTTACTTGGTCCTCCTTTTCTCCTTTAGCCTTGAAGATCCTAAGCGAAGTCTTGTTTTGTGACGTAGTTAGATGATCTCCACATTGTGTCCCATCCATCTACAGCGCTTTTTCTTAATTTCTTCTCCAGCTGAAATCTGGTTTGTTCTTGTCCCACAGCAGGTTGTTAAAAAAACTAGCTCCTTATACATTTTTGTTATTCGACAATACGATCACATACAATTAAATATTTAACAACCTTGAATAAAACATATTTAGTGATTAGTATAAAATATTACATGAATTAAGACAATCTCCTTATTTACAATAATCATTATTTGGATTACAAAAGCAATTACAACTCTTTGTTTTTTAATGATTATAGTAATAAAAGTAACAGTTATTCTATTAAATGAAGACAATATATTAACTATTCTAACATTCAAATTAGGTTACATTTTGAATGAATAAAAAAATTAATCAATAATGAAGACGTAAAGTGTTGTAAATTTACAAATACAGATAAGAAAAAGCAAAATAACGAGTTCATAAGAAAAATAGATTAAAAATTGTTACTACCATTTTAATTGTATATAGTCTTATGCCAAGTAGGTAGATGAAGATAGTTTTAACTTATTTTGAATACAAAGAATGTGATTCTTGGTTAGAATAACCGATCCTTCTTTTAGTGTATATATGGGTTGGCATTCGATAGCGGCCCTAAATAGCTTATTGGTATTGTCTCGGTCAGACAAACGAGTTAATGATTGTTTGAATCTCATAGAAAGCACCAATTCCTTTAGGATTTCAGCTACGCTTTGTTGCTGAGGTAACAGATAGTTTTAAATGTAAATTCTGAGTGTTTTATGGTCTACTACCGACCAGCTTACATGAAACATAATATACGTAATAAAGCATCACTTTTTGAATGTTTTGGATGGAACTCAATCAGCACTAAGAACCAGACAAATTGTTTTACGATCAGTCAATACCAGGTGAATGTTGTATTAACTATGCATACTAGCGAGATTGACTATTTAAGAAATAGATTTCTTTCGACGAACCAAGGTAATGTTCATTATGGAGCATGTCTTTTCATTCATGATCTGCATAACTCTATAATTAAAATTCGTACAATGTTCTCACTAGTGATTAGCTTCGTGAGGAAATTCTCGCAGTTCTAGTAAGAAGACATGACCAGTGTAGTTCAACCCTGTTGTGTGTTGGCAGTAATCAACGAAGATAATAGGTGAGGTTGAGCCAAACCTTAGATTGGTCGAAGTTAGACATTAACACCGTTAGATGCTGGCTTAATGGTCCATATGTTAAGCATTCATGCTCAAGAATGAAGGTTTTCGGTTCGATTATTGAGAGTGGCGAGAGTAGTAGATGAACACTTCTGATGAGTCCTACACAAGTACAAAATGATCGTCCAGTGCTTCCAGGTTTTTAATGGTGGTCTAACAATGACCTATGCATGATTCCAACAAATTTACATGATAAACTAGTCTAAGTTTCTTCTGAGAACAAAACGAAATCAAAATGATCAAAGATAAGTACAATTTCAAACAAATGTATCTAAAAACCTTGTTTATCATTGATTATTTCCCTGAAGAATATCACACTTGATTGCCAATTGAAATGCCGGGATTGTGTAAATTTCAATTTCTGAAATTATTTCAAATATACCATTTACATGTAAATTTAAATTTTGCCTCAATAAGAGGACAACAGTCGAAAAGCATGTGCTTCTTTTTTCTATATCTCACCAACTTTTGCCAGGATATTGTTATCTAATCATTACAAGAAATGCTCAACTATAAACCTTACGAATCTAAGTGGTAGGCGATTAGAAGAATGATAGATGTATCAAGGAAAAACATTTTCTTAGTTGAATTTTTTTCATGAGATAAAAAAACATCATCGGCAAAAAATATTTGTCTCTTCTCACTCTCCTACTTACTATTCGGCCATCTTGGTTTTTATGTCATTTCATGGTCGTTTCTTTTCATGTGTATATATGTATTAACGCATGTTTTCCATTTTTAAAAGTTTCATGTATATTTCGTCCTCCTTGTCTCTCAACTTCTTGTTTGTTTAAAACACACACAAATACTGGACTTTTTCAAAATATCCCTTGTATACAGTTGAAACAGCATGTTAAATCATGTAGCGGAAATGATTGAAAACAATGGAATAGATTCTAAGATGAAGAAAACATTCTTTGAATGAGAAAGAATGAATAATTTTCTCTTGTTAAATTTAACTTTGTTCTTGTTTTTATTTATCATCTCAAATAAATCATAGTTGAGATTGTGTATTTGAAATGGAAATTTTCGTAAATGTATATGAATTAATGGGAAAATATTTTTTAGATAATTTCAAAATATTGTATTATGCATAGAAAATCTCTGAATAACTTATCTAAATTAGTTTAGATTTATGGGATTGAAACTAAATCCCTGGGTATCAGATTACTGAGTATACATTATAAACAAACTTATTACAAACAAATGAAACAGATAATCAGCACATCTATTGATTTGTGTATTATGTAATGTTTAAACCTTTGTGAAATCTCTTAGCGGTATATTAGACAAATATGTGTTTGAAGTATGATATACTTGAATGCTAGTACGAGTTCACCTTACTCAGTAAACGGGAACGAAGATAAATGATTCAGTGACACGATTGGTTATTCTAATCCGTTTGTCCCCGGCCCGGCTAACTAGATCAAGAAGTCTCAATAAGGCGTAGAAAGTGTATTCTACGAGAACCGAGAAATACGAGGTTGAAAAGTATGCAAATCAAGCTTGTTTATACATGATAGAAACGTCCTTGGGAGAGCCATAAAATAGCATGCCAAAATAATCCATCAACCAATGACAGTCAAGGATTTTCCCTGTTAGGGAAATGTAAGCTGAAGATCAACTAAGCAACTTATGCGCGAAAACATAAAACATACAAAATTAGGACCTTTTCTAACCGACTTCTGAGGATCTAACGTCCCAAACAGAGTTTCAATAAAACAATATACTTAGTTCTTCTCTGCATATAACAGCTAAATCAAAGATTTCTTTTCAATGTTTCATCTGTGTTGTTGACATTTTATTTGATTTACAATGTTTTACTTTATAAGGGACGATCTGAATTGTTTGTCAATAATGAATTTTAAACTTTAACTTTAAACAAAGTGAAAACTAGTTCATTATGTTTTACATCTTATAACTGGAAGCCTGAATATTTGTTACATTTCAACAGAAAACACAGAATGAGAAGTATGGAAGTATGGCTAAATTAAGGACGAAAAACGATATTATTTATAGGACAAGTACTTTATAGTACTGGCCGTAAAACCTTCAGGGTTTTTATTCGGTCTTCAGTGCAGTTTTGGATTTACACCCCTGAAGAGTGATATACTATAATGAGACAACCATCCAGCTCTTCTTAATTAGCAGTCGTTTTCTAAGATCACTTCTTGGTGTTAGCCTTAAAAACCTCTTAGATATCTTGTTGATAATTTCTTAAACTGAATCTATCAGTGGTATTAATCTAATTCATTTTAAGGAATCGTGCAGGTTATCAACTAATTGATAGCCTGTAAGAAAATATTTATTGTTTACATTATCGACAACTATCTTGGATACATTCATTTTTAACAATTAAGAGTCGAATTTCTTAGAGAAATGAACAATAAAATCAAAAACACAACTGAGCTACTAAGCTTGGTCAGTACATTCACATCGAATCCCTATGTTCAGAAGTACGGTCAAGGTCAAACGAAATGTTTGCGTACATCGCGATTCGACTTACTGATTCACTGTTCTGTCTTCCCACTCAATTTGTACTCAGCAAGTATACATGTCTCTGCATGAATCAAACAATCGTAATACGTAATTGAGTATACAGAAATGAAAGTGTAATGAGTTCGATAAAATTTCATCAGAATTAAATGTTTCAATTTTTAAAAACAAATGTAATAAATATTCTGCAAAAAAATATTATCAAATAATATTTTGAAATTCAATGAAATACATATTTCATTCAAAGCGGCGTATTCACTAAATTATGTAGAAAATGATTCAAAATTCAATTTTTAGAAAAATTATTTTCTTTATGTGCTGTTATTTCATTTTGTATATTTATCTTTCATTTTGTGATCATTCTAAAAACAATCTCATGTTCAATTATGTGAATATAATAAATAATTTTTCAAAAGTTAATTTATGATTTTGTACACAATGTCACATTGGACCATTGAACATTGAACAAGTGTGAAAATGACATACAAATATTTATTGTTTTAAATAAATGTTTTAGGTTTTAATAATCTTTATGAAATTAATCACAATAACTTTTTGAGGCTGAATAGTAATTTTCTTTTCATTTCAATGTACGGATAATATTTTTATAGGTACATATGAAAGATAGTCGAATTTGCTTTTATCTTGAAAGATATATTGAAGATAACAGCTCACTAGTGTTGGTAATTAGTGTTATCAAACTTTAAACTTAACACCATAGAATGTAGCGGTTTGCTTTAATTATCTTTTTAGAGGTCTAGAAGGTAGTCAAAAAATCGATTGAATAGTTTATCTTATGATTGATTATAGTTACTATTTTATATTAAACAATGAAAGATATCCATTTTATCATTAGCAAAGCAATATATATACCCGACTGTAGCTGCTAACTTGATGTGGTGGTCGGGCTTGACTATCGTGATGACCCAACCGAGCTATATTGGCTGGAACTTATGTTCCTGAAGGTTCTACCATGCCAGGCAGGTCGATCGGAGAACGATCAGACTAAAAGCAGCTACTCAAGGTCTGAGGGCGAAGTAGTACTGCTGACTGCAGAAAGGTATGACAGCAGTAAGGTGTTTCCCTCAGACAACCAGCATCTGCAGCGATGCTACCTTATCACTAGGAAGGAAGGGTTAGGAAAGGTCAACCCTAAAAATGTCACACCTCGCCTTACCTCACGGATTTCCGTCTCCGTCGGTAAGGGTGCCCACTAAGGGCTTGTAAGAGCGGAGCTAATACTCAAAAAACCCTTTCATCAAAAGGCCGTGCGTGAACGGCCTCAAGCAGTTGTCCCTTGGGCTCTAAGACCGACACTAACCTACCTTCTTTTTCAGTTTCCTCAAGAAACAACCCTCCACGGTGTGGGCAGCCGGGAAGTGACGACCGCCCTCATACCCGTATCAGCACACGAGACGAAATTAGTCAATATATAGATTATTTAATGAAGAATATTTTCTTTTACGACAGAAGCTATAAAATTGTATTTATCATAACTTAATAAAATACAATAGTCTGTCAATAATCAATAAAATCTAAAACAATTATTCTTATATTAGTCATCGATCGATAGGTGTTCACTACGCATTCAACTCAATTACGTTTGTCATGCATAATTATATAAGATTAAATTAGTATTTGTGGTTTACAAAAAGGTAAAATATTATTTTTTTGGAACGTTTAGGTTGTGTGTGAACGTGTAAAATAAGATACAAAACTTGGAACAAAATACTACCTGAAACATGGTTAAACTAAACCATTGAACTTTAGGTTTCGCATAACCAAATGAATTTGGTTGAAGAAGCGTTACAAACGAAGAACAAATGCACAGCTATTTTGCTTAATTATAAGAATTTCAATCAGTGTGCATCCATGAATTGACCAAAAATTGAACTCTGAACTTTTTTTAGATTAGACAACGATCACTCGTGATCGGTTCAAAATTTTTAGGTTAATTGATAAAATTCATCATCAATCCATTAGTGTCAATATAATCAACTTTTACAAGAGGTTAATCATGTTTCAAATAACCTAGTGTTAACTTCCATCTGTGTGAGATTGATCATGAATACTTATACTTTTGTAAACATGCTTTTCATATAAAATTTTAACTGTTAGAAAGCCTATATTCATAGATCTTTGTTAATTACACCAGTGAACTCAATTGTTGGAATGTAGTAGTAAATAGTACATCAGAGTTTTTAGTTACAATCGATTCTTGATTATTATTATTATTATTATTATTATTATTATTATTATTATTCTGTGACAGCATGTAGAAACGAAAGACTAAAGCAGAGAGAAATTAACATTTTTAACACATTTTTTAAGAATGATATCTTGAAATCATTAGAAAAAAAAATGGTATTTTAATGTCGATTGAATAATTTTTCTTATAAAGTATTGGTATACAGTGATGAAAACAACGCCATTCACTGTTGAATCTACTATGCGGAATAAATGAGTGACACTCAGAATAAGCTGTTTCTCCATCTCATGGTGTTCTTTGCATAAAGATTTATTCACAATATGTTTGTAATTAGATGTAAATATATATATATATATATATATATATATATATATATATATATATGAATTGATATGCAAGTGCCTAGATAGATGGATAATACATGAAAATGAGAAACTCTTAGCCTTTTGATGATGATGATGATGATGACGATACGTACAAGTTATCGAGAAAAACACTATTGAACAAATTTATCAGGCAAATAGCTATCAAGATAGTTTTTCGAGAATATTTTTTTTAAAAAAACAATTAATCCCTTTAATAAATTTTGATAGAACAGTAAGAAGATGTGATTGATCTGAAAAATGTGATATATTTACGCTATACCAGATTGTTCGAAATGTAAAGCTCGAACACATTACATTTTTCAGATCAATTACGTCTTCTCACTGTTCTATCAAAATATTTTTTTGTAAATAATTATCAGTTTCCTATTGTTCAAATTGACTTGTATGATATCTCCTGACTGATAACGAACGAATAATTACTGGAAAAAAAAATAGTCAGCAAACTACATTAAACAGGTGTTTCATTGGAATGAAGGATTCCTTATCAATGTGTTTTCGGAATTAGTTTATTTCACTTCAGTACAACAACAACAACTAATAATAATAATAATAATTCACTTACTTACTTACTTTCGCCTGTTACCCCCAATGGAGCATAGGCCAACCACCAGTTTTCTCTCCCTCCGCCTGTAGTCCCTTCGGGGCTACTGCCGGTCCCGAGGCCGGATAAAGGAGGAGGGGTTGGACATGGGGTTGGCTCCCCCATCCCATCTAAAAATAACTTGCCAAAAAAACGCTAACCAGAAATAATAATTCCCGATACAATTCAATACCGTTGCTTATTCTGTTAATTATTTGTTTAGCTATCAGTAATTTGTTTAACTGTTTCAAATATTTTATATTTGTTTTTTTTTTATTTTAAAAAAAATTTTTAGGTATTCTTAGAATCTGAAACTACTGAACAAGTATTATGGGTGAATATTGGTCGTCTCACTGGAATACGTTCTAGTCATGATGAGTTATTAGCAAGAATTGCATTACATCGTGGTGCATTTTATAGTGAAGCATTGGCTAAACGACAATTGAATCCAACATCTTGACCATTTCAATTTGATATTTCTGAATATTGTAATCAATAAATTCTATTTATATACATCATTTTTGTGAGTCTTAGATATTTATTATTACTACGTAGAGGGTACAGTTTAAAGTGCTAGTATAGGTATGAGGGAGATGGCACTTCTCGATTGCCGACATTATGAAAAGATATTTCTTCTTGAATGATCTGAAACAGGAGGAGCTCAGGGATGGTCTTAAAGTATAGCTTAGGAGGCCGAAGGACAACTGCTTGATATTGATGAAATATAGATTTTTCGCAAGTCGTTCTTGATGTTTTAACTGCATACACCTATAAGACCTTATCTCAGAGGATGACAATCCGTAAAGTAACGTGAGCCGCTATTTTTAGAGGTAACCATTTTTGTGGAAATCTGTTGGGGATGTTAGATCCACAAAACGCGCTTGATAAATGCCTTATTTTGGATTTCACGATTGCCAGCATGTGCTGATAAGTTGACCTTGAGATTTCATTTCCCACCAGGAAAACCCATGGGTGTGATTGGCTGCTGTGTATTTTAGTGTGATATTTTTGTACCTGTCCCAAGAACGTTTCTATGATGTATAAATAAACGAGAGTTGTGTGTTTGATGGTATTTTGATTGCTGAGTGTTTGTAGAATATACTTTCTACGCTTAAAAAGCCTTCTATCTTCAGCTTGGGATTCAAGGTAGCCTATCTCGTTTGCGTTGATCGACTAAGGTGAACTCGTAATAGCTTCGAGCGTACCTAGTGATGAACCCTACAAAACGTAACGTTGATTCAAATACCTATTGTTTGAGAGGAAAATCTTTCTGCCGTCAAACCTTAGTCTAGTAAACAATACAGCTTCAGCCCTAAACCTTAAATAAGTTCACCATCGAAATGTGTGTAGATCACTCTATTATTATGCATTTATAAGTATAATTCATGAATAAAAATTAAAAATCATTTAGCATAAATAATCTTGTGAGTTCGAGCTTTCTCGCGCATACATATCATGAAATGGATCAAAAGTTGGTAATTTGTGACAGACTTAAATTGAACATTTTCAAACATTCAAAGTGAAGGAGATGAATATGATGTTGATGACAACATATTGCATTTTTGTTTTTATTCGATTAGAGTTCATATATTGGATCAAATTCTTTATCTTGATGAGTTTAACTAGTTCAAGAAACCTGACTAGATATTTTCTACTTCTCAACATTATACGTTGGTAATTTAATAAAAAATTCCACTAGATTACGAAAGTACTCACTTTTTAAATTGTTGACTTTAAACGTCAAAAGCAAAAAAATTAAAAAAAATTGATTCCAACTATCAACTAGTGTTAATGAGCAATTTTAAATCAATAACAAATACCTGTAAAGATAATTTAAGACTACTAGTTGAATATTTGTGAAAAAGTTCATTGTAATATTATTTATTATGTGATAGGTAGGAATGACAATGTATGAAAATTGTAAAACATTTATAGACGCTTAGCTGTTAGAGTGTAGGTTATGTTCGTAAAATAAATCAATGAGAACAGATTTGCTTTTTATTTTATACCAACGTTTAAATCAATCAGATTATCGCTTATGTGACAGATAGTGTAATATTGTGGCATACATTTTCATGATTGTAATCATCAATCGACCTTAGGTAAATCAAGTTTAAAAACCTGAAAGCACTGGGTGGTCGTTTTGTCTTAGTGTGATACTTTTCACTGGTGAGCAACCACTATCGTACACGAAGGAATCGAACCAAGGACCTTAAGCCTTATATATGAACACTTAACCTCTAGATAATTGACTATAATCTCCAATTCCTTGACAAATCTACACGCAAACTTGGCAACTAAGTTTAATCATATACATGAGTCTTTACACTTCAAATACTCTAAGTTTGGTTTTAAAACTGATTATGAAGCTTAGCAAACATTACAGAGACGTAGAAAAACACTGTATGCATTAAGGCACTTAGTATGCAGCTGTACTGATGAGAAAATAAACGGATAAATTTGAAATCATCAATCAGTCATTGTTAGATCACCATTAGAAACCTGGAAGCACTGGGCGGCCGTTTTGTCCAAAACTCTTCCCCAAAATATCTAACAGTGCTCACTAATGACTAGCTTCGTGAGGTAATTCTAGGAGTTCCAGTTGAGAAGACGTGACCAATCGAGTTCAACCCTGTCGGGTGTGGGCAGTAACTACCAAAGACATTAACACCGTTGGAAGCCGGCCCAGCGGTCCGTTGGTTAGGCGTTCACGCACAATACTGAAGGTCCCGGGTTCGAATCCTGAGAGGAGCAGGAGTCGTGGATGCGCACTGCTGATTAGTCCCATACCAGGAAAAAACGGCCGTTCAGTGCTTTCAGTTTTCTAATGGTGGTCTAACAATGACTGAATGGTGATTTCAAATGTGTAAAAACACACACCTCCAAAATTCTGCCCCAAAATAATAGCAGAAATGAAGTTCATAAGGTGTTAATGTAAACACTTATCAGCATAATAAAACCAAAGATTAGAATAAAGTTGAAAAGATTGAAATAAAAAGTTACATTTTATCGAAGATTTTGGATCATTAACCAGAAAAATTCCAATTCAATTCTATATTTGCATTTTACAGACAAAATCAACAAATATAACTTTATGAATGCGTGCATTTGAGTTTCAGTAGCTAAATTTTTTTTATAAGTAGGTTTTTTTTTACCAAGTTTCACGATGCACAGATATGCTGCAAAAGCTTAAATATTCATTTATAAAGTTGACGAAGTACTAGTAGATATATACTCAGTAGTTGTAAAGAGAAGTCGCTTTCTTCTTAAATCTACAACAGATAAGATTTATTATTTGTATTTAACGGAATAAAAAGTTGGTTACAACCTATCTTGCTGAAATTTTAGATCTTACTTACCTGGTTAAACCTGTTACCCCACGTGAAACGTGGGCAGCCGATCAGAATTCTTCAAGTAACTCTGTTTTGCGCTCTCCTTTCCACTTATCTCACTTAATGTCCGGTTTCGATTCTCCGGTCAATGTGTCCTTTGGTCTTACTCTTTTCATCTCGCTTTGACGATTCCGGGTGAGGAATTGCCTAGTTACATAGTTGGGTGATTTCCGTAATGCGTATCCTATCCACTTAAAGCGCTTTCTCCTAATTTCTTCCTCACCTGGAAGCTGGTTTGTTTTCTTTTACAGTAGAATATTATTGATATTGTCTGGCCGATAGATCCTCAGTATCTTGCGTAAAAAACTATTTATAAATACCCATATCTTGCTCCAAACACAAAACCGTCTTGACGTTTATACCGGAAGTTGTGACTTTGGTGCTGGTTGCCAGAGAGTTGTTTTGAGTTCCAGATATTCTTGACTTATAGAAATACTGGCTTTGCATTACTAATTCACGCTTGTCTCTAGGTATGCTTAAACTATTACGAGTTCACTTTAGTCGAATAACGAGAACAAAACAATGAACCAGTGTCCAGGTAGGCTACTGTGATCCCTTGACCAAATTGTATCAGCAAGAAGTCTTGATATAGTGTAGAAATTGTATTCTACAAACACCCAGCCAGCACACAATCAATCCAAGCACTCAAATCGCGTTTATTTATACTCTATAGAGACGTCCTTGGGAAAGTCACAAAAATAGCACAGTAAAATGACACAGTAACCAATCACAGCCAAGGATTTTCTTAGTGGGAAATGTGATATCAAGGTCAACTGGTCGGTTCATGAAATAAATCCAAAATAAAGACCTTTATGAAGAGAGTTCTGTGGATCTAACATCCCCAACATCAACTGCATCAGATTCTCCTTGTTTAACCTTTATATTTCTCCATCAAGTAAGATTTAGCCGGTGCTCAATGTATTGCATTTAAGGATCTTGCTTTTTCCAGTGTGTTTGTTGGAGCGATAGGTTACGTGCACTGAGGAGGAGATTGACAATTTAACAGATCAAGTGTACATAAACTCTAGGATTTTTAGTTGATATTAAATGTATTTGCGAGCAAGTCTATGCATACCATATACAAGAAGAAGTAACTTGATTAACTGACATTCTCATAAAACATGGTTACAGTCTTTCAAATTTTTTTCGCCTTCTTATTATTCTAGTGTTCTACTTCATACTAAGTCTTCGTCTTTTAATCAATGGGTGTTTGTGACAATCGGATTAGAGTAGCATGTCGTGTCGCCGTACCCTAGATCCTCGCTGTCGTTCACCGACTAGGGTGAACTAGTAATAGTTCAAGCGTATCAAATGACGTGTTAATGAGCATGCGTAACATCTAGAAATATCACCGTTTTCATGAACTAAACGGGATAAATAATTTTTTTATTTTCCTAAATATATATATATATCGAATCTGATAAAGATTGAGAAGAAACCAAACTGGAAAATAAGGAGACTGATACTTAGTGTCGACCTTTAGTTCGATCTAGTGTAAAGCTCTGACCTATAAAACGACAACCATTTTAAAGTTAAAGCAATTAACCCTTAGTAGTATCACCTTGTGATTCTGATCAGTCGAGAATGGACTGAATTTAGCAATATGGTTCATTGTGCCATTGATCTAAGGATGTCATACTGTCATGGTGTTCTAAGCGCTCTAAGTGAAATTACTAGGTCATACTTCTAAGGAGCCTTGAGTTAGGATGAAGTAACTGTTCAGTAATATCTGATCCCCAATAAATTTTCATTTGATATTACTTATTAGTGAAAACTGTCTTCAGAGTAAATAAATCTTTACCTAAGCATACTTAGATAACCTTGATGCACTGTTTGAACTACCCTGCTTCCACTGAAAGCTAATGTCACATCTTGATTTGGTTACTTATAACTTCTACCAAACTTCATCCATTGTTGTTGCACTTTGTGGTAGTTAGCGTTTTCAGACTTACATAACACAAGTGCAAGTCATATCGATTGATGAAAAGTCACAGTTCTATTTTTTCATGTTTGTTAAATGTTCAATTTCAATGTTAGGACCCTTCAAAAATGAATTTTTAATTAACCAATTAACCAATTATTTATTTGATTTTCATTCAAAATGTACACTTTCAAGTGTATTTATGGCAAAATTCAACACAAACAAAATTGAAATCAGGTTTTTTTTTCTGGTTTCTTAACAAAATTCACCTATAAAACTACAAAAATTAATGTCCCCTGTGTAAAAATATACATTGTAAATAATCTTTTCTGATGATGATAGATGTATCGATAATCTTTGCACATTGGTTTATTTATGTCTCATATATCCTTCAACATATATTTTTCTAACTTCATAATTCTCTCAATAACATTATATTTACTTACAATTGAACATAAATGACTTTGGTTAATTCAATTGAAATAGGATGGAACTTATAAAATAGTGAAATTTGATAACATTCTGAATTAAATTAAGCTCACATTGTTCAAATTTATATTTTCCCCTTTTATCATTCAATCAAACAAAAAAGAATGAGAACATTTTGGATAAAAAATCATCAAATAATTTCAGTAAATCTTGTTATAGTTTGTTTTTTAATCTTTAAAATGACTGAATCTCTATTACAATATGGTAATCGTATTCATATTTATACAAATGTATGCAAAACATTAACAAGTCAATTGAATGGATCATCCTATTATCAATTCTGTCAATATCGTGTTCATGATTATAACAAACAATATGAAATTGTTAACATTGATATTCCTGTCAGAATTAATACTTCCAATGATAGCACTACTACTGATTTTCATGTGGATAGTAGTAGTAGTGATACTAGTAGTAATTCACGGACGCCAAATACGAATGATTATACTCGACATGATATGAATTCTATTCAAATTCATGTACAAAATCTTTCTGGATGGTATTTATTAATTTATCGTCTTTTATCCAATATACCAGCTATGTTGACATGTTTATGTTATGGTTTATTAATGAATAGAATTAGTCAAAATTATATTATGTTAATTCCATGCTTAGGATCAATTGTATCCTGTGGATTATTTCTGTCTAGTTTATTGCCCAATTTAAAATCAATACCAGATTCATTGATATTCACGCTGGTCGGTGCTCTCCTATATGGATTATGTGGAAAGAGTAATGCTTTTAGTTTATGCGCAAATAGTTATATTTCTGAGAATAGTACCACAGAGAAACGTACACGTATGCTTGGACGTTTATTAGGTGTGAATTTTTTTGGATTAGCCCTTGGTGCATCGATACTCGGTGCATTTTATCGATTTTTCAGTTATTTCGAAATAATTCTATGTGTTATTTGTGGTAATTTTCTAAGCATACTTATTTTGGTATTTTTAGTGAAAAATGTTAAAAAGTCATCAACAACACATACAGTAGAAGTGATAGTAGTTGATCAAGGCAATACATCACAAACGGAACAAAGAGATCGCATTAATACTACTAATAATAATAATACTAGTAATGATTACATTCATTTTACAAATTTCTGTACATACAAAGAACATAGAACCTATTGTCAAAATATAATTTATCATTTGACAAAACCTCTATTGATTTTAAAATCTTCTTATAAATTTCTCTTTGAAAAACATAATGATCATAAACATTATTATCTATTGACTTTGTCAAGTACAATTTTATTAAAACAAATTACAAAATCCGGTGAACAAGATGTACTGCTATTGTATTTAATGAATCAGCCAACATTATTGTGGAGTGCAGAATTATACGCTTATTATATCACTTGTTATTATAGTTTAATGTTTATACAATTAATAATTTTATTACCATTAATAGAGAAATTTTTTAAAATACACGATACAACTTTAATTATTATTGGACTTTTAACAGAAATGGTACGTTTATGTATGATTGGTCTATTGAAAAATACATGGTTGATATTTGTAAGTACAATTATTGGTTCACCAGCTAGTTTTATTACAACTTGTACACGTTCATTAATTAGTAAACTTGTTCACAACAATCATGAAATGAATACAAGTTTTGCTTTTATTTCAATATTAGAAATTTTAGCTAATTTTATTGGTGGATTATTATTTACATTTATTTATAATAAATCTTTATTATTTTATTCATCTTTTATATTTTTATTTGATGCTGTTTTAAATATACCAGTAATTGCAATTTTTATATGGTTAAAATATAAATTGACCACAAATTTATGAATGTTATATAAACAAACAAACATACATTGAACTAATAATGTAAATTATTATATTTATGACAATGAATTAATTAGAAACCTTAAGGGGTTATGTGAAAAAGAAGTAAGTAGAAAGTGAGTATATATATATGAGCCCCTTTATATTTTATGATAGGCAGTTATATTCAACATTGAAAGACTTTCATTTCTTTACGAGAACTTTGTTGGAATAACAACAACAGTTTCCTAAATTTTTTAATTAATTATCAGTACGTGTACAGTATTATTAAGTAATACTGTCGAAAAGAAATTTTCTTCCCTAATGTAATCTTCACTTCGTTTAATAATGTCAGAAATTTTATTTTAATTTATTTCATTAAAACACTTGTGTTCAATGTAACTCAGTATGTTTGTTTGTGATTATTGTCGAGATTTTTTGGATACTCCTTTTTTTTTAAATTTTCTTGATTAATTGAAATAAAAATTGTAAATTATAATAAAATAAATTTAATTATTTGTAATATTAGTAAATTTGAATGATTTGATGTTTTGAAATAAATCATATTTAACAAAATGCAATGTTTTTTTAAATGAATATTGAACAATTGAACATTATCGGGAAATTAACTGATAATCAGTCAGTCAACTACAACGTTGAACTTTGTACATACGTACATAAGTTCAAATTGTCATTAGTCCACATTAGCCTAGAGAGATCGAATTGCTAATTTAATGTAGTGTGCCGATTTACTGCGTGTTCTTAAGCTCAGTAGTTAGCTCGTCTAGACAATCGTTACTAAATGGCGTCTGACAGTTTAAAAATCAGAAGGTGAACTCGTAGTGTTGAATACGTTTATATGAGACACGAGAAGCTGCGAATAAAACGAAAGGGAGCAACGTGAAATGGAGAAGGCTGTTGAGCCAACTCCAAGGATAACAATGCGAACGAATGGGCGAATGAAGCGTATGAACAGGCGAAGTGCGTTGGAGAAGGTTAATGAGCCAACTCTTTGAGATAAAGCATGACTAGGAATTCATAGTGAGACAAACATAGGACAGACATGCGACAAGCGAAATAGGCACATATAAATAAAAGCGACGAATAGTTGACAAGGTCAAATGACAAGTGGGACACGTCATGTGAGCTCATACAAACCAGACAATATAAGAACGAGTGGTGCATATAAATTGTTGCAATACAAATGGCTTGGTCGAATAAATTAATCGAAAGGGCTTAACCAAATTAAATGTAAGCGAACTCGAATATATGTGGAGGCACTACGTTAAACCTATACTAATAAAGATAGTAAAAGTATTAGAGGTAATGGAGTAGTTTAGGGTTCGGAGATTTTATTCAAGAAATGTAATCCAATGAAATAAATTTAAAAAGAGAAAAAAACGGTCATAAAGAATTTAGAAGATTAGAATTTGAGAGAAGGGGAAGAATAGATGTATCTGTGCCACAGCGAGTGATTTTGAACCAAATCATACAAAGTCATTAACCGTCGGTAAGGATTGTCTCGTGAGCCTCAACCAGGTAGTCTACATATACTAACATGACTCAGTCCAGTTGATAACAAGACTAGTTATTAAAAAAAGAGATCACTTCGCTGAATTCCATGTATAAAATTGTGACGCATATCATTACGCCTATATTCATGGTGAGAGACGTTTTACCGCTGAGGCTATATCTACATTGTGCCATGTGTCATTCACTCCCAAGGATGAATATTTGCCAACTTTCTTTCTGAAATTTCCTTAGGATATTTTTATTCATTCTTTATGATTCAGAGTTTCATTAAGTTTTAATTATTAATTGTACATTTTTATTCAATGTACACTTGAATCGGTCTCATTTAGTCTTCATTATTTAATCGTGACATCAACAGTAAAAACATATATCTATGTTTATTTAACTAAAATAAACGTTTTAAGATGAAGAATTCAATCATGAAACAAACTATAGATAGTTTTAATTCTGCACGTACACTACTCAATTACACGTTATTGATTACCTTAGTAACAGGTTGTAGAGAAGCTAACTTTCATAGTTTAACTAGCTTAGATTTCAATTTATAAGTATTCGGTAAGTCTGTAAACCAGTAAACAATCTAATGTAAATTCATACGATTGACCGGAATCTATTACAATGCTTAAACAATTCAGTTAACCGATTTTCTTGCATTGTGATGTAGTGAGCCAATCAGAATTGGCCAGATCAGCAGGCCATTTAATGACCATCAGAAATTTCCTAAGGGATGAATTCATATCACTGGTCAATAAATGGATTCCGTTCCTAGGAGAAATATATATATATATATATATATATATATATATATATATATTGAATATTTATGTATACGATTGGGTAACCAAACAAACTATGTCTCGCTTGCATGGTCATTTTGTGGGGTTAGTTTAAATAACGTTTATATATGGGACACCGAACATCATAACACATGACTTATTGTATCTAGCCTTAGTTAGCTTTCTTACTACGTCTCCAAATGTTTATAATCAACAATTATAGCGGAATGAATTTCGTAGAAGTTGGAAATCATTATTAATCACAATTTTATTGTACGACGACTGAGTAACTAGATTAACATGTATTTATGTTTTATTTATAGTAAGCTTTCAGTTACTTATTAACTACTGTTGCACAATTAACTATTCCACTTTTCTATCCCAGTCTGTTACTGATAGTCTCTTCTATTCATAAGCATTTCTGAATTGTTTGCATGTAATAGTTACCTTTTATTTTATAGTATGATGCGGTCCGGTGTGTTTGCATATTAAGCCACGTAAGGTTGAAGTTCAAATATTGTAGAGTTTAGATGGTACTTTTGGACTAATTAAAATAACCGATAAACGATACATCTTGCAGAAGTAACAGTATTATCAGATGACATAGAAATGTTTGGCAACGCAAACGCCAACTCACAGAGAATAGCAACATCTAAAAATATGAAGTTTCGTATAGTTAGATAATGTCTGAAAGTTAAAAGTTAAGTGGGCTGCTTGCTTAATTGGTTATTGAACATTCTTAAAGCTTACTAAATTTTGAAAAGTTGTTAGATAGGAATCCTTTTTGCGTGAAAAGTCAATCAGTGCTCTCTTCATGATTTTCATCGCTACGGCCAACAGAAAAAGTTGACTTAAAAAAGTATAAGTGATGTAGTTGTATAATACACACATGTTGTCAGCATTCTGATCACATGTTTCCACAATTTATCTTTCTGAGAACAGGTCTCCACATAGACTTTCAAGTCTCATCTACTTCATAACTCTTGGGACGGTGACCCGCGTATGCTAAAATACAAAATCTGTTCAACCACTTCTAGTATACTGTACTTTTATTTTGAGTAGAGTTTATATCAACGATAAAATAGGATTAAAATTTGTCTGGCTAAGATTTGCGCTTTATACTGTTGGCAACGTTTGTACATTAAACTAAAAATCCTGAAGCTGTAAGATTGGAATCGACACCCTGTAAAGCGGAAACTTAAAATAAATCCCATCTTTTTCTTCGGTATACCTAATAAACTATCTCTTACATACACTGATGCAAGCGAATATCGAGAAACATCTAGTCATGTCTTTCCAAACTCTTTATCATTATTGATGATGTCTGATACTATACCAGTAGATTTTCGAGACTCTAGAATAGTCTGCCGTGCGATCTATCTGTGAAATAAAGTCACTATCATAATTTGTACTGATGGTTAACTCTCCTTACGCCTGTGACTAGAACTACTGAACATACACCTATTAAACTTTCTTTCTTGCCGACATTATACATTTACAATGCCTCAAGTTCATTCGACCATTTCAAATAATATCTAATTCAATCAACAGATAATAAGAGTAGACCTATCAGAGTGATTTTATTGATTTTTGTTCTGTACTCTTTGCGGTTTGTCGTTTCTCCAGTTGTAGATGATTAAAATTACTCAGTAATGGCATTGGAAATTATCTGGTTTACACTGTTCATATGTTAGAAGGGCATCTTAGTGTTCCTACAAACAGTTAATGGTTCCCAACTGATACCTCAAACTTTTATAATCTATGTGGCAAATTTTCTTCCAAATTACCTTTTACACTGTAACCCGTATCAACCAGATCATCCCTGTGAATTGACATTGAGGTTCTGTAACGTTTTTTCCTAAACGAAAAACTTTATTTTTTTCATATTTATTAGTAGTGAATTTAATCTATTCTAAAATAAAGAACTATCGAATTGATTAGTTCTATTGATAGGAAATATATAAAAAAAGGTAGAAATATGAAAAATAACCAGTGAATAATCAGATTTTAGAAAATTGGTTTAAAGTAAAATTAAGTTGTTGCTGTTTTTTAACATGTAAAAAAAGACTCCATGTACTTTAGCGATTATTTGTGGGGCATAAAAGTTTTTTTAGGTAAATAATACATAAAAATTGATTGATCAAAAATTGTTTTGAACATGTATGTATGTGTATTGATCTACAACACATAAAAGCCGTTCAACTTTTACAATCGGTTAAAAAATATTTTATTTTCACTGAGCTTAAAGAAGTTAAAGTGAATTTCTCAATCACTTTCATTAGCTTTGCCTAATTACTTTTCATTGGTTAAAGAGTTAGTATGTGTAACAATTTCTTTGACAAATAAGTTTTAACGATATAAAGAGACAAATCAATAGGAAGCTCTTGATTGTTTATGATTTGTACTAGCTGACATTCTTCAACCACAAGTAGTTGTCCAAGGCTAATCGGGCTTCTACTTCTTATCACTCAGTGTTACAGTTTGAATTAGTTTGGAAAAATATAGATTCGTCAACTACAGAGAGGATCGCTAAGTATCTTTATCAATTCTAAAATTTTTATGACACAATTTTGCCACTCAACTACATAATGCCTTAGTTTCGACTGAATATACATTCAGTCTTTTGACTCATTCAAAACTGAAAATTCACTCTTGAATAACTTTCATTATTTCTTTTCAATTGATTTAAACAAATTGTTTTATTTTACTATAAACAAATTATTTACCATTAGACAAAATAATACATTTATTTATAGAAATGAAGATAATTTCATTTCTTCTGTTATAACATAATTTTTTTTTAAAAAATTCGAATAACTTTATGACAAAATGTAAAGCTCTTTTTTTATTTGCTTTGTTTAAATACAATATCACATAAATTAGTTGTGTTCAATTTACAATGTTTTTTTATTCTTTTGATTATGTTTTATTTTCAATGTATGGATAATTTTTTTCATAATTTGAACTTTTCTCAAATAAAATCAATTTAAAACGTAACCATACAAATAAAATCAATATGAACATGTGTAACACTGAATCAAACAGCAAAACAAATGATGACATAAAATTTAATGTATAATTATAAATCATAGTGAATAATAAACCGCCAATCAGATTTGCAATTGTTTCAAAAATCGAGATCAATGCAAACGATCCACCGATTTCAGTTTTAAGTATTAACTTACTAATAATTGAACGTGTTGCTGTTGTAATGTATCCAGCAGCGGAACCAATGATTGCACCAAAAAATATCCATCCTTTATTCTTAGTAATACTGAATAATAATAAACGTATAATTTTTAATGATAAACCAATCAAAATGAAAGTGGTATCATGTGGTGTAAATCGTCGTTCAATGATTGGTAGAATCAAGGTCAAATGAATAAACATACAACCATAATAACATGCTAAATAATAACCATATAATTGACTAGTCCATGATGTTGGTTCATTACGTAAATATAATAAAATGATATCTTGTTCACCAGATTTTGTCATTTGATTAAATAAAACTGTACATAATAAAATTATGAGTAATTTATGCTTTTCATTTTGATTACTATGAAATAAAAATTGATAAGATTGACGAAATTGTTCAATCAACATTTGAATGAATTCATAAAATCGAATATCCGTATAATTATTATTATTTGACATTTTTGCGGAATTGGTACAATTCTTCATTGTCGCACTATCATGTTCACTAGATTTTATCGATAAAGATTGATTATCATGTAATATTGGTGTGATCTCATCGGTTTTTGAATCAGCCACCAAAAATAATAAAATTAAAACAATGAATAAATTATTCATTGCACAAAATATCACTGAATCAGCATAAGTTGAAAATGATAAAAATAGACCAAGAAAAAATGTACCAATTGATAGACCAAGACAATTGATACCTAATAATCGTCCAAGCATGCTTGTACGATTTTCAATATTTGTCATATCAGTAATATAACTATTAGCACCCATTGTCACTGCACTACTTTTACCGCATACACCGTAAATAAATCCACCAATTAAAATGAATAGAACAGAATGATGAATTAAATCATTATTATTACTATTATTATTTGGTGGTAATAAGCTGAAAGAAAATAATGTACATGCTATAACTGCACCTAAACATGGTATTAACATGGAAATTTTACGACCATATTTATTTGAACATACACCATAGATAAGACATGATATAGTAGCTGGTAAATTTAATAGAATACGATAAGTTAATAAATAATATCCAGATAATCTTTGTATTTTTGGTAATAATGATTGTTTGTTTACAGAATTATTCTCCTTAATAATACCATTCACAATATTGTTGTCATCTTCACCGGAACAAATATCATTTTTGATGTTTGTTGAATTTGTTAAAGCTAGACAAATAATTTTGTATATTTCAATACGTGTACCATATTGTAAAAGTGTTTCGGTTAATTTATATAGGAAAAAACAAAATATCACTAAATGAACAGATTGTTTATGATGATGAGTTCGTTGAAATATTGAAAACATTAGGTGAATGATGATGTATTTCGAAAAAAAATTAGAAAAGAATATTTGTCAATAAAATGTTCACTGTTTTCAAGTTTTTGCTTTTTTAATTGAATGAGATGAATAAAAAAGAAGAAGCTGTTTTGAAATACTGTGTATCAGCTGTAAATAACATTTTGAAAGAGTAAAAGCAAAAAAATTTGAACGACTTGAAGCGTTAATCAAATGAAAAAGTAATGTTTTGACTTATTATTATGACTATGAACCAATCAAATTATTTATTGAACTACTGTAAAACTGATTGGTTGAGACAAGAAATAGTATGAATGAATGATTTGTGACATTTTATTGTTATTTAATGTGTAAATAGAAGAATAATTTATTTGATTGGTCATACTTGTCCTGGATTCACTTCAATTGGGGTATACTTGAAAAACCAACTGTAAATATATATACTCATCAGTGATATGATTCAATAAGAGTTCTCAAAATTTCACCGGGGAAAGTCATAACTGATGAAATTCTAACTTGTTGGGGATGAGTTTTTGTCATCAGTGACAATCAGTTATCATTAGTGAATGTCGAGAATAGACTCCAAGTTGGTAAGGTCGACCAAAGTATGCTAAGTGACTGACTTAAATTTGACGCTAATTTATCATGGAATTAAAAAAAAAGTAGAACAACACATATAAGCGAACAATATTGTTTTCGATTAGATCGTCATCAGGCTTTACTCTAATATGCATGAATATTTATATGAAAATGTTAAACCAATCAAGGCAATTTGAGTGATAATCACAATGAAATGAAAAAGATTACGTAACTACATCTAATAGGCAAAAGTTCAAGTGGATAATAGGAAAACAGGTGTACTGATAGTAGTAAGAAAATTTGTAAAATATGATAACTAAAGTAGTTTAATGCACGTCTCACAGAAGCGAAGACGAACTTAGGATTTACTATCAATTGTATTCAGTCAAACAGATATCCTAAAGTATATTGGAAGTCATTACGTCGAAACAGAGTCTATCCGAACTTCACTTCACTACACCTATCCGCTACAAAAGAAATTTGGTTAGATGTCTCACTTACAGAGCTAATATGATATGTTCAATGGATACTGTAAGTCAGGAGCTGGAATTCACTGAGCTGGAATTCGGCTCACTAACCGAGATTGGTTACCCCAGCGCATTCATAAAGAAGTATATGTCTGCCGTAAAAAAGAAGTCGGTGGTTTCGACTGCCCGAAAGAAGCCTTTGTTTATTAAGCTACAATTCAACGGAGATGTGGCCTGCGATACTCTGCAGGACAGATTAAGAAGAGTAATTAACAGAACATTCAACGCTGCAAAACTTGCATTGACTTTCTCCAGTCGACCTGCGATGTCTACTCAAGCGAAAGATAAGTTACCTGAGCTGGCCTCCTCTATGTGCATTTACAAATTCAGCTGCTCCTGTGGAGATAGCTATATCGGGCGTACTTCCAGGCAACTTAACCAACGAATGAGTGAACATCTCCCAGCATGGTTTACTAAGGGTCAGTCAAAAACAATACGCAGTTCTATCTTAGCACACCTGGTGGATAGTGGTCACATTGTAGATAAATCTAGATCTTTTCGGGTGATCTATCGTATACCTCCATCATTTCCCAACGGAGTTCGATCCCGTCTCCTACACATTGCAGAAGCCATAGGAATACGTACATTCAACCCTAATTTATGTGTTCAGAAGAAATTCGTGACACCCCTATCTCTTCCGTGGCCGGATATGACGTAACTAATGATTGACATATTTTTATTATTTTATTATTTATTTTATTTTATTTTTACACATTTGCTTATTACGTAATGTTTTTGACGTTTTTTGACGATTATTTGAATTCTATTCATCCACCCTTGACCTACTTTAGTTATCATATTTTACAAATTTTCTTACTACTATCAGTACACCTGTTTTCCTATTATCCACTTGAACTTTTGCCTATTAGATGTAGTTACGTAATCTTTTTCATTTCATTGTGATTATCACTCAAATTGCCTTGATTGGTTTAACATTTTCATATAAATGTTCAGGCATATTAGAGTAAAGCTTGATGACGATCTAATCGAAAATAATATTGTTCGCTTATATGTATTGTTCTAATTTTCACAATGGGAATCTTTAAAATTCTTAAAAAAAAGTGTTAGATTTGATCTTATAAGTTAATATGGTTCAGATAGAGTTAAAAATATAATGTATACTCTTTTAAATGTGTCTTTTTTAATATCGATAATGTTCATCTCATGATTATATAAATTATTTTAATAAAATTAACTCTATCAAACGTTGCATTATGATAATTAATACTACTAATATATTTTATAAATTTAAAAAAAGTAATACTTAGGACAAAAAGAAAGTATTTACGATACATTTATTTTCTTCTACAAGAGAAAAATATATCTGTCGTGTGTGTGTATGTAGGACAAGAAGTATACTCCTAACGAAGAGTCTTGCATAGACTAACTCCTGAGATTTGCAAAGATCGTGATCCAATTTTAGCAGTACAACTGACTGAAATCTTAGGTAGAATCTGGGAACTAGACATTATCGCATCCGACTGGTCTCAATCCTTGATTGTCCCAATCTATAAGAAAGGACTAAAGTCTTCGTGTAACATAGACAGAGGAATCATTTTAACTAATATAGTGAACGAATTGTTAGCTTCTATTATACTAGCGCTCGTGAAGAGCACACTAGACGAAACCAGGCTGGTTTCAGACCTGGACGTGGATGTGTAGACCACATTTTCACACTACGACAGGTCATGGAACACAGACACACTTATAAGCGTCCGACAATAGTTGTGTTCCTGGACCTAAAGGCGGCATTTGACTCAGTAGATCCTGAGGTTCTGTGGCAGTGTCTGTCATTGAAAGGTGTACCAAAGAAGTACATAAACCTTATACAAAGCTCTCTACTCGAACACTACTGGTCGAGTGAAAGCTTATGGCGAACTGTCACCGGAATTCTGTACATCATGTGGTGTCCTTCAGGAATGTTCACTCTCTCCATTCTTGTTTAACTTTGTCGTAGACATCCTCTTAGAGTTAACATTAAGCTCGTCAGATTTTTCAGGGGTTGACCTTCTACCAGGAAAATCGCTTACTGACCTAGAATATGCCGTTGACATAGTTCTATTTGGTAAAGACGCTGAAAGATGCAAAGTCTTCTGAGCAACAATGCCAGCATGTTCGGGATGCGGTTCTCACCCTCGAAATGCAAAATGTTGCTTCAAGATTGGGTTGCATCGGCACCTGAACTAGTGATAGGGAGTGAACTAGTCGAGCGTCTAGACCGCTTCACTCGTCTCGGTAGTCTCATCAGTGCCGGTGGCCTGGTGTGTGACGAAATCTCAGCTCGGATACAGAAAGCTCGATTGGCTTTTGCCAACCTGCGTCACTTATGGCTCAGGCGGGATATCCGTTTACTGACTAAAGGACGAGTGTACTGCGCAGTAGTTCGCTCTGTCCAACTTTATGGCTGTGAAACATGGCCGGTAGGAGTTGGGGATATTCATGTTTGATTAGTATTCGATCATGGATGTCTTCAAAGCATTGCTCGTGTATCCGGAGTCAACTGAGTTAGCAATGCTGTTGTTAGGAAACGGGTGCTAGATAAGAATGGCAGGTCAATAGATGAAGTAGTGAAAAGTTGGGACATGTGTTACGTATGCCCAACCACTGACTGCCTCGACGAGCTATGTTTTGTGATGTTCGAGTAGGTTGGAAGAAAGCTAGGGGTGGCCAAACTAAAATATGAAAGAAATCCATGAAGTCACTGACAGCTGGATTTCGTCTGAAATCTCAGTTAATCTACGTGCTAAGACTGAACTACCACCCTTAAAAATCTCGGGAGTTAATCCACCAGGTCATGCTGCCCTCTCTTTCTCTTGATTTAGCTTACTTTTGGCCTAAGAGTTGGAGGACTTATCTCAAATAGCCATTCAGATTGTTTGTAGATGGTGGATAGTTGAGATGTAAGTGAATGGCAATTGAAATGTCTCCTAAATTGTTCTACCACTGGCACAATCTTCTACATTGAGAAGAAGTAATAGTCCCATTCTCTTGCGGGTAAGTTTGATTGACAGCTAGATTTCTAATACTACCTACTTTAGTAAGTGTGAACAGCTGTCAACTGTTACCTATCTTAAAAAAAAGATTAGCAATAATTTCGATGAATTCTGATCAACAAACAATTACATAAAACCATAAGATGTCCATCTACAATTTATCTTGCATGAACATGAATCACCTTCGTGGTACTCCAAGTTTCCTCCCCATACAATAGAACTGTATTGACATCTGTATTGAAAATTTTGACTTTAGTGTTGGCTGATAGTCATTGAGTTGCAGGCAGAACTCAATTATAGAAATGATGCCAATGCTTTGCCAATCCCTTCCTTCACATCTACTTCAAATCCTCCTTGCTCACCAATGATGCTGCCCAGATATGTTAAGGATTCCACATCCTCCAAAGCTTGTCCAGCAATTGTGATTAGGTTGGCGCATGTTTTCTTGTATCGAAGGATCTTGCTTTTTGCGTTGCATGTTAAGGCCTAATGCTGCACAGACGGTCACTACACTGGCTATCTTCATTTGCATGTGTTCTTGCATGTGAGATAGAAGGGGCTAGATAATCTGCGAATTCTAGATCGTCCGGCTGCATCCGAGCTATCCACTGTATCCTTTGCCCCACCTTCATAAGCCAGCTGGTCACCAGAAGAAAGAGAAAGTGTGAGAGTAAGCATCCTTGCCTAATACCGGTCTTTACTTCGAACGAGTCTGTGAGATGTCCTCCATGCACGATTTTGCAGTTTCATCCATCATAAGAATTCCCTATGATGTTGACTAACCTCTAAGGCCCGCCATAGTTTCGAAGAAGCCTCCATTATGTCATCCTATCCACTTTACTAAATTCTTTCTCGTAGCCAATGAAGTTACTGTACAGTAGTGAATTTCATTCATTTAATTCTCACACTC